ATTTTATTTTATTTTATTTTATTTTATTTTATTTTATTTTATTTTATTTTGTTTTATTTTACTTTATTTTATTTTATTTTATTTTTTTTTATTTTATTTTATTAAACTATTTAACTTGTTTGAATCAATATGCAGATTAAAAATATTGCATTGTCTATCTTCGTATAATACTTCTCGCCTTTCTTCAATAAAAAATGCAGTTCGTTTAATTCATAGTACTTGTTGCAATATTCACAAATATGTGTGATTGAAGCATTCTCTTTATGACAACAAACACAAGAAATTATAAAATATCTGTATAACTTAAATTTAGAGGTATTTTTTCACAATTATTTATGTATGTAAACAGTTTAAAATTCTTTTTTATTTTGCATATCATAAAGGTAGATACTGTACTGTATTTTCACTCACCGTATCATAGTGTGTCCGCTGATGCTTCGCTCGATCCGAACTATTGCTGAACGCTTTGAGGCAACCTTCATATTGACAGCCATATGGCCGCTCGCCGGTATGCGAGCGTTGATGAATTTTCAAATTTTCTAAACGTGAGAATGCCTTGTTGCAGCTGGGAAACTGTAAACGGAAAATAAGAAAGCACAAAAATATAAATATAATAATAAAACCGCAGAAAATTTAAGTAGAAAAATTTCGTAGCTGTAGGCAGTTGTGCACCTCAATGGAACGCTTCATGCAATGAACAAAACGTCAATTGCATTCGCAACAACGGTAACAACGCGCGCAGACAATCTAGAGTTCAATGAAAAAACAACCTCCATTGGTGCCAAAGTAGTCAGCCGGTGATCCGTATTATCAGCGATGAAGGCGAAGCCTCCAGAGAACCTGGACGCGTCATCCAATGTGAGGCTTTTTTTTTGCGAAGGCTTGTTCAATCGACTTAATAGGAGGGACGGTGACGACCGCCCTAGTCTTGATGTATGCATGTTGAGCTCCTGAGCTCGTCAGACGGATGCACTCTATTTGTTTAATATCATATTTATGTATGTATGTATGTAGTTATAATTTACCCTTCTACGAATGCATGAGCTACACTTTGGGGCACAACAAGGTTGGAAAAGGATATGTTATTTGCTTACTTATTTTGTCTTTTATTTCTGTTTTATATTCGTGTCTTTGTAGCGGCGCGGAGAAGCAAATTGCTTCAAGCTGCTGGCACATCGACGCAGTGGGAGAAATGTGCTGAGGTCAAATGGCCTTGTAACATATGCTCCTCATGTGAAGTGCCTCTGTCATCAAGGTTTCGTTCTTTGCATTTCTTTACATTGGCATGTATAAACATTAGGGCGGGTCAAATTTTAACATTTTTTTTTACTATGTGCGTATATCATAGAAGAATTCTACGTGTAATTTTAAGCAAATTTGCCGAAGAGACCATGGATTTAAAGTAGTTTAGAGTTTGCAAAATTGCGAAAATAGGTTCCGAAGAAAATAGGTAAATGTTCACTGTTACGCTCTTAAGCGGAAGTTTAGGAAAGCGATAAGTACAGAAATGGATTCAAAAAATGTTGGTTCCCATTGGAGTTGGTTAAGACGTCTTCATAGGGTAATCAAAATTCAAGGACCACCCTAATGTACATATGTACATACGTATAGACATACATACATACATTCATTTTTAATCAAAATCCTTTCAAGCCTTTTCCACACAAATATAGCATGTGTCACTTTTATTGCTACAAAAACAACTACTACTCGTATCAATACAAATGCCATCGCCCGCACAATTGACTATACTCGTAGCTGGGTAAGTCGTCATTAGCGACGGAGAAAATATAAAATTCTTTTACTTGAGCGACATTTGTTGGAAAATAAATAAAATGCATAAAAAGAATATGCGTGAATAAACGCACGCATAAGTGTGTGAATGGATTTCAATTTAGACGAGCACATAAAATAACCTTTTAACTTGCTTTATGATCTTCGTTTATTTTCCGTCTTTACGTATAAATTTAAACTCTTTAAAATAAACAAACATTTATTTTGTGTCTAAAAATAGCAGCAAAACGAATCCAGTGACAGTCTACTTTCAGTCAATGTTCCAGTCTTGCCATCAAATTTTTTTCAACTATCGAATTTTCAATCTGAACCTTTAGAACATATCTGGGTACGCATTTTTATAGTTTATATACATAATTTTAGTCTGCTGAGGTGCAAGTTTCAACCGGCAAAAAAATTCAGTTAATTTTGAGATTTTTTTTTTGTGACTCCTTTTGCTTTTTTTTTTTTATATAACAAGTGCAATGTACAACAGCTGGCTTATATGGGAAAAAGTGCAAAAATCCGTCCGTAAAAAAAAAATATTAAGAATCAACGCCGCTTGAAACACGTGGTCAATTGTTTGAGTCACTGTATAATGTAGCACATTTTATATGCATAGATGGATGCATGTGTATATTCATTGCTTTTAAATAAGCTTGCAGCTGTGCATTTATTTCAACACTTGAGTTTCAAGTCCATTGCCGTATATTTATTATACATATCGTCGATGATACTGCAAAACGTTCTATGTCACTTATTACCTCTAATAATTTATTGATCTATTATCTGTAACTGATCGCTTCTGGCAATCGTTCGTCTTCATCAGGCAAAGGTAGACATTTTTGTCATTCGTTTATTAGGGTGTAATGATTTGCAGATGCATTCCGGTGCATGTAAGAGACCATCTAAGTATGAAGGTTACTAATAGACATAGACCGATTTGCAGTATCACCGACGATGTGCATATTAGGGCCTATCACTCTCCATCCAAAAAAGTTACTGTTTTCCATCAAAATTTGTTATATTTTAAGGCTTCTTCCAAGATAGTTTGGAAAAATATTAAAATTTATGTGACTTTGACTGTTTTGAAAATACCTCCGAAAATCTCTTTATTTTGATTTCGTTATCAAACATTTGTATGCAGACTAGTTAAGCTTAAACTCTTCTAACATCTTAAGAGATTTTTTTTTCGAAACAATGTTCATTAAATTGTTTGATTCATAAACAAAATTATTTTTGGAGGTGTTTTCAAATCGGTCCAGCTCACGTAAATCTCAATATTTGTGTGAAAACTTATTTCCTCGACAGAAGTTTGTTGTTCAGGCAGAGCACCAGGTACTTCACTTCGCTGTCGTCATCGACCACAAACTCATCCACAGTTCTGATTCTTAATGCTTGACAAAGCTCTTTCCCTAATGAACGGAATCATGACAGTTTTAGTTTGATTGACTTTGAGTCCAAACTTTACACACCTATCCTTCCGTTAGTGTTAGTGAAACCTTTTTAAATGATTGCGAGTACAATATTTTTGTTTTAATTTTTACTAGCGCGAAGTCAAGTATGTTCCCTACACATATTTTTTGTCACTTATTCAAAAAGTATCTGCATCTTTTTTCTTCTTCTGTAGCGAAAAGTGCGGCTCTTCTTTCATAAACAAAAGTCTATGTCTTCAAACTCACATCTCTGCTAGAAAGGATTGAAATTCAGCAAACTAGCGAAAAATTGGAGCCTGGCACAGAAGTAGCCACCTGCTTTCAGCTAATATCATAGAACAAAGCCTGAAGGTTCGCGATCATTGTAGAAGTTTGCAAGACGCAATCTATATGTAGCTCTTCTCTTCAGAATTTTGGCGCTATGTGCCAAGGGGGCAACAGGAATTAAGAGTAAGAGGGATTATACAGGAATAGAACACAACAGATCAGTGAGCAAGGAAAGTGTTAGACAAAACTTGAAGAAAAAAAATTACAAAGTTGATTAAATGGCCAAGGCATCAACAAAGGTTAGACAAAGTAATTATAATAGTTTCCGTAGGATTTATGGGAATTAGAAAAATATTCCTAGGAGGTCTACCGGTATAGATAACATAGGAACATTTTCCAATTTCTATAAATTGAAGACCTGGAAACTTGTAATTTGATCCGCTGAATTTATAAAAAGCAATTTCTTCGAAATTCTGGACACTTCTGTCGCATTGGAATTATTCAAATCATAAAATCCAGGGACCGTAACAGTTACAACTTTTATGAAAAAAGTCGCTCTTTAACAATTATTTTTTTACTTTATTTAGTTACTCCTTAAATAACTGTTATTTCTGACTTTTATTTTATAAATCCAAAATAACAATTATTTTTGATTTTTATCTTAATAATCTGCAATTAACAGTTATTTTTGATTTTTGAATTATATGTCTTAGATAACAAATTTTATACGAATGCTTTAAAAAATAAAAGTCGGTGACTGATTTACATTGATGACTTTTCAAATTAAAAGTCTTCGATAACTGTTTAATAATTTATAATTCTAAAATAAGTGTTATTTGCAGATTATTTAGATAGAAATCAAAAATAATTGTTATTTTGGATTTATAAGATAAAAGTCAGAAATAACGGTTATTTAAAGAGTAACTAAATAAAAGTCAACAAATAACTATTAAAGTCTTCAATAACTGTTATCTAAGACATAGAATACAAAAATAAAAAATAATTGTTATTTTTTTTTAATTTTGCATAAAATTTGCAAATAAGAATTTATTTTTAAATTTTTGTCTCTTGTGAAAAAATAAATCGATTTGTATGTATCACTTAGTTGTAGAACATTTCCTTCATAAGAATTTCTTCATGACAGCTTTCATCAATAACTGTTACGTTCGGTCCCTGGTGCCAATATCAGAACACACACCATGCCACAAACTCTTAGTAAAAGTGTAGGGGCCAAAATATTATTACTATTGTTGTTTCTTTGGAGTTCTAGAGAGTTTCAGTCACCCCAAATTTATATGAATCAATTTCTGGAACTAGAAAAGTTCAGCCTCGTCGGATGCTAGGAAAATTTCTATATCGAGGACGATGCCAAAATTTTTCAAAAGTTCAGACCGAAAATACTTATATTTAATTTTGAAAACTCATTTAAGCCACCTTAACTTTACCCATTTTCCCTAAGTTTTAAAAAAATCGAGTAATTTACTTCCAGTCACATCCATCCATCCAGCATCAATTCACACCCATACGCACATACGCTCGATCAATTAACCCCATTGGCTCTAATACCCATCTAAGTATGTATGAGTATTCAACTTACCGGACATTTGTTGGGCTTCTCGCCGCTATGCACGCGCATGTGTATCAAGAGCTTATAGCGCGCATTGAAGGGCTTATAGCGGCGCGGACAGTCCAGCCAAAAGCAAGAGAAATCATCGCGTTTTTTCGCATCCACATGCCGCTTCTCGATGTGCGTCACAAATGCCGCCTGGTTTGGGAATTCCTCGTTGCAATCAGTCCAACGACAGATTTGCAACTCATCGGCAAACTCTTCCACAGGCGCTGCATCCGCAATTTCTTCTTCTTGTTGCCTAATACCGCCAATGGCATCTGCGTCATAATTCTTGTGCATTGCTGGCGTTGCAGTGTTGCGAGATGATTTGCATTTGGCACCAGCAACCTCATTGCTGGCATTGCCTGCAGTTGGTGATGTGCAACGACGTCGACGACGTGGCGGTTGCAAATGCAACTGTGTTGCTTGTTCTAAGTGATTTGTTGTGGCTGTGGCTGTGGCTGTGGCACACGCACTGGTGTGGAATACCGAATCGTTATCATCCTCATTTTCATCGACCTCGTCAAACACACGCTCATCACTTGCCACCTGTAGGGCAAAATCCAGCGAATTTTCATCTTCAAAATAGCCAGCAATATCCACATCTACACCCTCGTCGCCGCTTATGTGATTGGTTTGCTTGGCACTGGCACAGCACAGCTCGTCGATAAGCTCCTCATGCAACTCGTCCAGCTCATCGATGGTCCATATGATTTTGTGTTCGCGGTTTGGTTTTTCCGCATGCAACAAATTGCAATTCTGATAGTTCTCCGGCAAATGATCGTAATTTTGGGCTACTACAGCACCGGGTGATGCGGTTGCGGCGACGCCATAGCAGGACCATTTTTCTTGTTGCTGTTGCTGTTGCTGTTGCTGCTGCTGCTGCTGCTGCATGCACTGCTGGTATTCTTGCCGTTGTTGCTGTGCGCTGATCTCATCGTTGGCAAATGTGTAGTCATAGTTGTAGACAGACTCGTATTTGGGCGTACCGAAGGTGGACACCATCGAAGGCAGCTTGTTTGGCGTTTCCTGCTTAATCTCGTGCGCTTGTTGTGGCTGGTTGTGCGCGGCATACGGCTGATAGGTGTAGCAGGTATTGCTCGGTTTAGGCGACCGATTGCGTTGTGTATTAACGGCCGCTTGTTCTGCGGCCGCAGCGCCAGCAATGGTTTCGGCCAAATTGAGCGTCATCCATGGATCAAGCGGCGGCGAGGAGCAGGGCGATTGATTTTTCGATTGACAATTAATTTCATCGTAGTTGTAGTATTCGATGTCGAGGTTCAAATAGTCAGAAGTTAAAGTGGCTGCAGTCAATAATTGACTGCCGCTAAGGTCACAACTGTTGTTGCTATTGCTCTCGCTGCAGCTGCTTGTAATTCCATCTGATGTCATTTGCCGCGGCTGCTGCTGCTGCTGCTGATAATTGCCATCCACCGTCATGCTGAAGCTGGTTGCCGTCGTCGTCGTCGTCGTCGTAGCGTAGGGGCTGTATGGCGTGTGTGGCGTAAAAGGCGCTTGTAAACTGTCTAACACGCCCACCAAGCCGCCACCTTGCAACGCCTTCTCAGTAGAATTTACAAAGTTGTCACTCGTCTCACAATCGACGGATGTAAGGCGCGCAATATCCTCCGGCTCAAAGCGGAACACATCCTGGGTGTTACCGGTGTTGCAAGCTGGCTGCTTATGTTGTTGTTGCTGTTGCTGTTGCTGTTGCTGTTGCTGTTGCTGTTGCGACATGACCACATCACTATCACTGCAAAAGCTCACTGTTGCCGGGGTGTTGCCGCATTGATTGCCTGACGACACATAATCCAGTGTGTTGTTGTGGTTGCTGCTGCTGCCACCGTAAACCGAAGTGGGCGTCTCCACCATGTAACTGAGCGAAAAATCCGGAAAGCTCAACTCGGCGCTGGTGAAATCTGTGTAGTTGTTGCTGTTGTAGACTGCCTTCAGATTACAATTGGGCGCAAGGAATTCGGCTGTGTGGAGTCGCTGTTGCTCCTGCTGCTGCGGCTGCGGCTGTCGAGTTTGGAGGAGAGGGTGGTGATTTTGCTCTAATTCTTGGTGTGTATCCTTTTCGTGCTTAGCGCTGAGCGGCGGTGACATGAGTAGAGCGCAGCTGTTGGTGTTGTTGCTGTTGCTGTTGCTGCTATTAACATAATTATTGGGTGTCGATGCTATGGCATCCATGGCTGGATAAAGTGGTGAATAAAGTGGTGAAGGTGGTGGCAATTTAATTTGTGGTAACTTTGTGCAATGACTGACACTTTTGCTGCAGCTGTTGTTGTTGTTGCTGGCAGACCGATTAGCTGAAAATATCACTTTGGCTGTGGTCATGGGCGAAATGCTGAGATTAGGCGGGCTCACTTTGAGTGTGGCAGACATGGCGAAGGCAAGTATGCGGCGAATTTCTTCACACGAAGAATTTAAAGAAATATTTTGGTTTTAAAATTTGTTAAATGTTTGGGAACAAATGTATAATTTGAACGTTTTTTAAGCGCACTTTATACATTTTACTTTCACTTTAAGTTCTAAAGCCCTTTCAATGCTTTAAATTTCACAATTTCTCTGCATAAGTTTTCATTCATTCGTAGTCACTGTCATTGACCACTTTCCATCAAAAAGTCAAATGTGATTTCCCACTCAAATACTTATATATTTATGTCACTCGCATACAACAAGCGTCTACACGGCGCAATAGCTAGCTAAACACTCAATGACGCCAATTTGTTGTCTGTTTTTTTTTTTGCTGAATTTCGCTGACAAAATTTGCTCGCTCCTCAAAGGCGTGCGCGCGCTTATGTCGCGTGTCTTTTGTTGAATAAATAAAATCACTTTGGCATGTTTAATTGTCACCTCTTGCAGCGGCACTCAGACTACCAGCACTTGTCCGTTCCACTTTATCACTATGTGTTTTTTTTTTTTTGTTTTTTGGTTCTTGTTTGTGCTGCTAATTTTTTTGTCTTTGGTTTCGCTTTGCTAAATTTTGGCAACACTGCCAAAAAATCAGCCCAGTGCGCTCGGGAAATCCCAGTGACTTTACGCAGTCCTATGTTGTTGTTGGCTTTAAATTTCCGCCCACTTAGTATTCTTTTAAATTATTATACTAACTACCAAATATTAGACATTTGGATTTATTTAATTTTTTTCTTTTGTCTGTAAAATTTTTCTACGCCACTTTAAAACACCCGCCAGCGGTCACGTTTCGCTCGTTAATAAATCGGTGTGCATTATGTTGCCAGGTTTTAAATGCATGCAACAGCAGCGGTAATGTCTTCTACATGCTGCATACAAATAACAGCAACAACAACGATTATATTAATGCACATGGGCGACAACTCGCACTTGCCTATTTACATGCAGTGCCGCACACATATGTACAAACATACACATTGTTGGTGCATCCTGAGGATCTGCGCTGCTCGATCACTCCTTCGTCTTCCGTTGTAAATGCGACAGCATTTTGTTGTTGTTCGTGCAACTAAACTATGCACACTCTTTTTGTTAGCTCTTGCATTCATACATTCATACATATGTATGTGCGTGTTCAAATTGGATAAAGACACATTTATACTTAAACACATGTGCCACCCAATATATAGTAGTTGTTGTTTTTGCTGTTGTTTTTATTCTCGCTACTGTTCACTTGCACTGCACTCCATTGCGCCTTGACTTTGTTATTTCTAAAATTTTAATTTCTCTTTTCTTCTTGCTTTCAGAATGCATTCAACTCGTCAATCCATTGCTGGTTCTCCTGCTTTTTATACCTTTCATGAGCATGAAATGGTATTATAACTTTGGTCCGATGTTTGTAAGTACCAGAACAAAAAGAGATAGACCCATTAAAATGTATACTTATTTGATCAGAACGTCGAGCTGAGTTGATTTATCCATGTCCGTCTGTCCGTCTGTCCGTCTGTCCGTCTGTCCGTCTGTCCGT